GGGACGCGGCGGAGCTGGGCAGGCACAAGGGCACCTGCCCCGCGCCGCGCCAAGCCCCGTGGCCTGTGACATGCCTCTCTACGAGTCCTTCGGAGTCCTTGAACAGACAACCATTTCTTTTTCTCACTGAGGCTTTTAAAAAGCAACATAACAACAACAGCTTTATTGTGAACGTAACCTAATTAATATTCCAACCGGACTGGATGCTGCTAAAGGAAAGTGACTTGCGTGACCCCCAGTTTTGAAGTATGTGAATGTGTTGACAAAACATCGGAAGGAAGGTTTGACGAGTAACTGCGTGTCTTCCGCTTTATGCTCGCTGTTTTCGGAACTGGGAGAACTCGCCCATTATTTGCGAGCACCCGTCTGTCCCCCGCGGGACACGCGACACGCTGCTGTCGACGTCGCGCGTCGCCGCGGCCGGGTTGGCCAGGGACGGGACGGAAAGGAAAACGACTGGACTTGTGTTGTGGTGCTTTCCTTCTCTGTCGCCGTGGCTGTCGCCGCCCCGGCCGCCGCCGCCGCGCCACCACCGCCCCGACGCAACCGAACCTGCCGCGTGTGATATTCGATAACCGGCGCGCAGCGCGCGCGGATTTAAATGATGGATGAAGCTGCACGCGGGGCGGGGCGGGGCGGGGGGTGGGGCTGCCGCCGGGGAGACGCCTCTTCCTTCCGCGGGGGTTACGAAATGCGTCGCTTTCCTCTGCAGGAATGTGTCACCGGCAGCGCGCCGCCCCGTCGTCGCCGCCACCGCCGCGGATGCGAGGCCTGCTCGGCTGTTGGGAGGGACGCATCTCAAACGCGACGCAAAGTAATGAAATGGGACAAAAATGACTGGGGTGAGAATTAGTAAAAGAGTGGTAGTACTCATGATTTTAACTGTCACGCCGGTTGACTTTATGAACTCGTGTAATTTGGACAATGGACCAAAACCTTGTGATCCTAGCCCGTCAACTTGACGACACTGACCTTTATCGTGAAGGGTATTGTATCGTAAAACCGTTCCCTTTTCTCACCGCGTACCTGCATTTCCGTCTTGTTGCTCCCAGTGTATCCGGTCCGTTTGGCCATTCCCGAAAGAAGTAGTGTGTAGCAAAAGAATTGACCCGCAGCGCGTACCGAGGGGAGCGCTTTCCCTTTCCAGCAGTCGCGCCTCCTCCTTTGCACTGCCCTGCTCCTCCCCAATCTTGGACCGAACTGGCCGGCCAGGGGCCCCGACAACACACAACGGCTCTCTCGGATCCTCGCTGATAACAGCTGCAGGAGGGCCGGAGGCTGCTGGGGGCGGGGTGGGCGTTCCGCACACTCAGCGTGTGTCCAGCGCATGCAGCGTCTCAAGCAAATGGAGCGAGCGGCCGGCGGAGAAATCGAAAAAATATATATGTATACCGGTGTACCACCAGAAAAATGAAATAGCTGTATATCAATCGTGGTAGTCTAACCGACCATTTCAGGAAAGACCCCTCGTAGTATTATTTTTGCAACCCTCCCATCGGCCATATCCTAAAATTTGTTGGGGCCCATTAGAACTCAAGTGCTACCATACCTAAATGACCATCAAAGCTCAAGTGCCATACTTTAATGACCATGCCTGAATTAAGCATATCAAATGGTCGTTCCGCCCCTTTGGTTTTTGGAATTAACTATTCATTTTTCTAGCACCCTTTGCTTACTGGCACCATATAATTTATCAATGGGTCTGTGTCTATGTCCCGAGTCAGTCCCTACTATCGTTTCATTTTATTTGATGTTTTTGTTCGTAAACCCACCTTGTTTTGCGGGGTGCCGATGGCGGAGCCCCTCCCAAGGGCGTGTTGTGCGGGGCGGGGCGGGGCGGTCGTGTGGGAGGTACACCTCGAGGTACACGATGGTCTCCAAACACGCCGCGAGGAGAGGTAGCCGTTCATCACTTTCACACGGGAATTATTTAATCCCCTTTCACTCCCTTCTCCTTGTGTTGCCTCCCCACCCCTCCCGTGTGGTGTGTGGCGGGGCCCGGCGCGCCTGCTGCAAAGCACCGTGCTAAAGCTGGAGAAGGATGATATGACGCCACACACACACACTCACACCAACAAACACACACACACTCACAGCACGCGATACACATTGGCATCATCCTCAAACCGGACGGACCCGGGCGGCTGGTGTGGCGGGCCAGACCGGATGGAGAGGGCACGGGGGGTCACCACCACGACACGACGCGCCGCCACACCGCCAAAACACACAGATATTCGACATTTATCTAACGGGATAACATGCGGCCTGTCAATACACAGAGCTCGTTTGGAGCGCGCTGTGGCCATAATGTGACCACGGTTGGTCGGGCCGGGCCGCACCCGGGAGAGTTCGTGCGGTTACTTTCGGCGGGTGTACCTGTGGGTGCTTTTAAGCGGTCTTTCCCCGGTCCTCGTAGCCCTCCGTGCGCCACGGTAAAGGACGCCGTATTCAGCGCTTTCTGCATTTTTGTTTGTCATTATAGCGGTTGTGTTTACCGCATGGAGGCGAGCGCGGAGGGGACATGTCACTGAACTGTCGGCCTGCTCGCCAGCCGCCAGGAGCACTGCACGCCGCTGCGCGCGCCGGCCGGGGCCCCGTGCGGGTAGGCAAGCCGCCCGCACGCCTGCGTGCCGTACAGCATGGTTGCAGAAGTGCACGGCGCCAGCCCCTGCTCTCCACTGCCACTCGTTGAAGAGGGGTTCTGAAGAAGGTCATAGGGTGATTCGGCCTGTTCATCTTCGTAGTTTTGCCTATCGTCTCTGACCATGGTGCCTTACGGAATTTACCGAGTAGGCAACCTCGAGGCAACCCGCCCGCACGACACGGCGTGATGGCTATACCCATCACTCTATAGAGTCTAACTGCGGAAGTGGTGGGGAGAATGCGAATTAGCTATACACCTGGTATCTTAACCACCCTGCCATAAGAAAATAGTGCAACTTTATTTCATAAATTTTTGCCATTCCTTCGAGATATCTTTCGAAGCGGGCCGAGAAAATAGTATCGTCGTGGATGGGATTTGGGATTTGTTGATCGCCTTGTTCATGTGAGATGTGCAGTCTACTCCAGAGTTTCCTGGCACTCCCACTACAAACCTCAAAGGGGGGTTGCGGGAACCGACCATAAAGGTGTCTCTTCCCACAGAATGTAAACAACGCAAACGCAGCCTGCCCATGTGCGTGCGTGTGCGTTTCGAACATCCGCCATTGCCTGATCCGTTTGTTTGGTGCGTTGCAGGTCCAGCCTCGGGAGTACGCCACGCGACGCCACGCCGCGCCTGCCCTCCTCACGGGACCACTCTTCGTCGAGCACCGCTCGGGCCCCGCAGCGCCACGCCGCGCCACGCCGCGCCACGCCCAGCGCGGAGAAATTGGCGTCGCGCGCGCGCCCGCGCGTGTGTGTGTGTGTGTATGTGTGTGTGTGTTGTGCGAGGAAGGGAGGAGAGAGGTTTGGAGGGGGTGGTGACCCAGCCTGCAACCCGTTGTACCACATTCCGTGCCGCGAGATGAGAAGAGCCTGAGGAGGAAAGGAGAGAGAGAGAGAGAGAAAGGGATACAGGGAGAGGAGAGTTGGAGGCAAAGTAAGGCGAAGTAGTGAAGCGAATGCCCCAATGCCATGGCCACGTCCCAGCTGCCCTGCCCGGCTCCGAGGACGGGCCCCTCCGGAGGCTTCCCCGGAGGCGTCCCCGGAGGCAGCGTCCCCGGGGGCCAGCACAAGTCGCAGCAGAGCCACGACTCCGGGACGTACTTAGACTGGGCGCCGGAGCAAGAGTCCCCGCCTCCGGGGGCCGACTTCGTGACGGTGGTCTCGGTGGAGGGGGGCGGGGTCGCGCCAGTCCCGCTTGAGAGGATGTCCCCCTTCGTCACCGTGCTGTCCATCGGCCCCGCGGCCCCGGGCGCCGCGCCCGCAGGCCCCGCGGCCATGGCGCCGCAGACCGTGGTGCACGTGGAGGGGCGGTCGCGGCCGCTGCCCGAGGGCGCCGAGGAGGTCTCCGTGTACCGCCTGCCCGGCGACCGCCTCGGCTTCGGCCTCAAGTTCGAGGGGGGCGCGGGGGCCCTCGGCGGCCCCGGAGACCCCGTGCGCCGCCTGCTCATCCAGTCCTGCGCCCCGGAGAGCCCCGCCTCCAGGGCGCTCTGCTCCTGGGGGCCGCTGGGCGAGGGCGACGAGATCCTGGAGATCGACCAGGTGCCCGTCAACACCATGACCAAGGCGGAGTGCGTGCACGCCATGAAGGAGAGCAAGGTGGTCATGAGGCTGGTCGTGCGGGGCAGCGGCCGGCCCGTGGTGTGCGGCGAGCTCAAGAAGGCCAACACCGCCGACACGTCCAGCCCGCCTCCGCCCATCCCGCCCAGGAAGGGCAGGACGTCGAGCGGTGGCTCGGCACCGCCGTCGCCGCCGGGTCCGGACAGCATCGGGCCGCCCAACACCTTCGCGGACGCCGACGTCAGCCACTCGGGGAGTCTGTCCAACGCGGATGTGGAGCACGAGAAGCAGTCTCTGTCCAGGTACGTACGGCAGGTTAGGGAATGAGTCACCTTAAAGTAAAAACAACAAGAAAAAGCCGGAAAATTATGGAGTGGGCGCATGTTCCGTTCTCCCTCTGTCATCATTCTGCTGACAAGTCTGTTTGTTCCCAGGACATCCAGCGCCTCCAGCGCCGCGTCTAGCGCGAGCCGCCTGGCCAGCAAGCGCACGTCCCCGCTGACGCCGCGCGCCGGGAAGCGCAACAGCCTGAACCTGGCCAGCGGCCCGCTGCCGCCCGACGCCGAGGTGTACTTGGATCTGCTGTCCCTGGAGCGCGGACAGGGCCACGGCCACGCGGACAGCGAGTCGGACGACACCAACAGCAGCCTGTCCACCGTGGTGGCGCTCCCGTCCACCAGCAACTCGAGCCTGTCCGCGTCCTCACCTACGACCCCCATACCCCCTGCGCCACCGCGGCCTATCGACCTGGCCAAGCTGCTGGGTCCCTTCGAACGCCTGGAGAGGGAGCTGGCGGCTGAGCCGGCGGGCCAGGACGAGGCTTCCGCGGTGACCCCGTCGGCCGCACCCGCGGCCCCGGAGCCGGCCTTCGTCTTCCCCGAGCTGCAGCCGCCGCCCAGCTTCCAGGACGCGCCGCTCAGCTACGGCAACGAGGAGGTGCGGCCCCGCGTCCTGGAGCAGCCCCTGGACCAGCCGCTTGACCAGGTTCTGGAGCAGGACCGGGAGGTGAGTGGCAACGCCGTGGCGTTCATCCACCCAGCCGGCGCGCCAAGTTCACACGGCCTCTTTAAGCATCCCATGTTTTCTCACAGGTCCACGACGACACGGAGTCGAGCGACGCCGCGGGCGACGCGGCCAGGAACAGCAAGAAGAAGCGCGCGCCGCCGCCCCCGCCGCCCCGGGGTCGCCCCCAGCCGCAGGCGCCGCCCCCGCAGCCGCCGCAGCCCGCGCCGCGCGGCGACCGCCTCCCGCGGCTGGTGCACTGCGTGCCCAAGGAGGGGCTCGCGGTCGCACCCAGCGGGCCCTCGCCCTCACCGGCATCCCCACCGCCGGCGACGCGCACCTCGGTGCGGCCAGCCACGGACACAATCCCGGAGCCGCTGGAGAGGCTGATCGAGCGCCAGCACCTGCTCGACCTCATCACCCCTAGCACCAAAGTGCCCGCCGCCGCCAGTGACGCCGACAGGGACGCGCAGACCAAAGTCGAGGTCGAGGACGCGCCCGTCGAGATCAGCGAGGTTACGGAGGACGACGCGGAGGAGGGTGACGGCGTAGACGGCGAGGTGACACTGCGCCTCCCCGACCTCGTCATGGACTCCCAGCAGCACGACGGTGACACCAAGTTCGGCGAGGATGACGACGGTGACGCCCTGGAGGACGGCGAGGACTTCGCGTCCTACCGGAGGAGTCTGTCCTCGCCGCTCCCCACCATCGGCGAGGACGAGGAGGAGGCGGAGCAGCGAGGCGAGGCGGCCAGGTGAGTCGCAGGCCATAGACTCGGTCTACTTCGAGGACAATTTATCAAAACCGAGACCGGGCCGCTACGCCACACCGTTTCTCTCGCTCACGGGGGGTATCAGAGCTCGGGGCTCCGAGGAGGACATCTGCAGGACGCCTACAGCTACTTGGTAGAGTAGGCGGACGGGTCGGCCTCGCGTGGCGGGGTGGTGGGGCGGGGCGTGTGGTGATGTGCCGCGCTGTGGTGCAGTGGTGTGGTGTGGTGTTCGAACCAGTCTGCGAGGAGGAACTTTCACTGATACCTCAATGCCTGATTCGCGACACTGGGTAGGAGGAGGCGGTGAGGCTGGTGCTGATGTTGCTGCCGGTGCCGGTGTCCTTACGAACCTCGCTGAAAAGGCGAGATAGGCGTCCGCTTCTGCGAACTAAACGAAAGCCACTTGCCAGCAGAAAAAAGGATGCCACCACCGTGTTGGTTGGTTGGTGCAGACCTTCCCAGGGCTCCGGCAAGGTCATGGGAAAAACGAGGGCGGAGAGCGCAGCATGGATATGTTTAAGACTGCCAGGCGGACAAGTAGACTGCCGTAGGCGGAATTCTCGCGTGAGATGTGAGAGGAAGGAAACTTTAATCTTGTAAGAGACGCGGCTAAGACGCCACTTTTTAAAGGGATGGTGCATTTAACAACATATTAACTCTTTAATTACCCTGTGGCTTTGTGATTATAGGTTTTGGCCACACCATTCTAGAGCATGAAATTTTGTTCATTCGCGCCGCTCGACTTCATCATAGAAAGTTGTAATTTAATTAAGCCCGCCCATAGAATGCAAGATCATGACAAAGTATCGAAAGCGATTAACGACTCCTCGCGGCTAATGGTAGTCGTGCAAGGGGGGACGATGGGGATCGTGTTGTGCAGGAGGACCTGTCCGGCCTAGGCTAGAGCTGGAGGTGGGGAAAGGCGGTGAGGACGCGAACAGGTTCAATCCCTTTGTGCCGCTCTGCATCGCCCCGCCCCGCCAGCGCAGCCGAGCCGACTCCATTCTGACACCGGCTCGGCCGAAATAAATATTGAAATGTGAAAGAAGTCGCGCCGCCGCCGGTCGGGCCGGGCCGGGCCGGGCCGGGAGCGGGAGGTTTCTCTCATCAGTCGCGGGGTCGACAGCTCTCGGGGTGATGTCATGTCAGCAGCCCGCCCGGGCGGCACGGGGCGGGGCGGGGCGGG